GAGCGTTTCACTAGAACACCAAACAACCCGAGCGTTATACATTTATAATTGTATTATACGTTTGTATGTTTAATACGAAACGATTCGAGCTTTCAGTGGCAAGCGGGGAAAATCAGAAGCAGGCGCAAGAACAAATACTCGTATTCAATCATCTGGCTTTCACAAAGGCCTCGGGCCTGATAACCGAACAATGAAATGTAACAAGTCGTCTATCCGGCATTGTATGCGGAAGGGAGAGAGGTGGCGCGTAGGGGGTTTCCATTATATTTCCATTTCCACCTCGATTCCCCGCGACTTATCGCGGCCTACCTCTCGGACTAGGTAAGTCTATCTTTCTATGTCGTTAGTCAGTATATCTATACGTCAAATCGCACCGAAATAAAGGTATTTTTGTGGAAAATAAAAGGATCTTAAAACTCTACTATTACTAACTATACTGATTTTTGTTTTGTTGGCAGCCTACTTGTTTAGTTGTGACAACTAAATGGATATATCACGGCGGGTTTTTACAAGTTTTGAATGCCCGACTAAGCATCTCCACCCTACGATAAACCTTCATTAAATAGTAGGTACTGTCTGTACTTCTGCTTGTAAATAAAGGTTATTTATTAGAGTTAGTAACGCACTATAATTAGTATTCCCTTTATTCTATTGCTGCTTGAAAATAGAAACAGGCAATTTAAGTTGGAAGATTAAGATCTCAATTTATTCGTAGTAAATTTAAAGTAAATTTTTCACATTTATTATTATCTCTAATATTAATATGTATCAATTAATATGCCATAAGGTATTCGCTGATTTCTTTTGAACTGTATCATGACATAAGGAACACGTGTGACATCTTGATTCAGTTTCCTCTTGAAGTTAGATAAAAAACACGCGCATATTTATTAAATGTCTTTGAAAATTAATGACAAACATCATTCTATCGCTGAAGATTGGGATGTAAACATTAATTCTTATTGGGGTACATGCAGCTGAGTAATCAAACTCTAAGTGAGTAATACACTATTTGTGCCTGTAAGTTTATTCGCTTAGAACTAATTAGAAAAAGATATTATTCATTTTAATATCTGTATGCTTTTAGATATCTAATCTACTGTAGACAAAAAGCTTAATTCAGTTTCTAGGTATATATTATACGACTGTGTGACATTCTTCGTCCCCAAGAAGATTAAACGGAACTGGAGCATTTTTATCGATGAGCGCTTATCGATTCGAATTTCGAAATCTAGCTGGAGACTTTATTTTAATTTACATACGACTAAATAGTACAACGATTACAAATATATTAACTATCTCACGATATACGGCGATAACGCAAGAGGCTACGTAAAAAAAATCTAAGGCCTAAGTATATCAGCCATATTCATAACACAGATCCATATGTTTCTTCAACAACGTTTACTGCTAACACTCTCAGTGTCTACAAACCCTATATTGTTTACGAAGTTTGTGTACCTAATATGTGTAAACACACATAAAGTACTCGGCTGTATATACAAATGTACTTACAAACAAATCCAATCAGTACATAATCATTGCGTACACGCAACATGATTAATGATTCGTAAGCTCCAAACGGACGGGTTCTATTTTCAAACAAACATTCAAGGAGCTCCTATTGGTTGTTTTTTTTTATTACAAAATGGCAGCCGATATTTGAAGATAATTAATGATGGAACCATTTCAAGTAGATAATACGAGAGCTTTAACGAGGTTTAGTTAAGTGCGAGCATTCGCTACCGTGTGGCTTAAGTACTTATATTTTTCATATGCTAAATAGGTACGGGCGTTTAAGATAACATCTGAGATTTGTTTTTGTACGGTTCTGGCGGCTACATTTCTGCTTTATTAGCTGTTGCAGTTATATCTGCGACATTAAGTGCATACGCATACTAGTATCATATTAACTACCTGGATTTGTAGTGGAAAAGATATACCATTTTTTTTCTATTCTAGGAATATACCTGAGTCACAGGGGTCTTTAAAAATATTCATGAAACGCACACAAAGAACACTAGACTCAGAACAACAATTTTTGTAACACAAAAGGTATTGTCCCATGTGGGGGTCGAACCCACAACACTCAGCACAGTAAGAATTGGCGACCGCTTAAACCACTACGCCATCCCATTCCCTATTATTCCTTATTAGTCCTGGTAAGCTTAGGTCTACTGAAGGGTGCAAATACTTCTAAAAACTTATACTTAAGGACAAGAAAATACTAAGATATGTCTAAGAGAAGAGAAGCACCTAATTGTCTTCACAATAGAACCTGAGTCCTGACGAATGAATGAGTATGAGATTTGAAGATGAAACCGCACATGAAGTGTACAATGAGATGATGGCGTTATGAAGAGAAAGAGATCAAGATCTCAACAGGAACAGCTACTGATTATTGGATTACCTACACCAATTGAATGCTCACATATTAGATATAACCTCATAGGGCTAGTAAAAGTAGCTTTTCCTAGATTTTATTTTATTCTATTTCCACTTAACATCTGATGAGGTATATGGAATTTAGAGTTTTCCTGAAATTTTTAATTAGTTTATTGGTACTTATAAGGTACTTATAAACTACCATGCACTTGTAAACAGACTTTGATCTTTACTGTTATGAAGATTTACTACTATAACCCAATGTGTTATATATTTACAGATTATATTCAAATTAATGTACAGAACCATAACACAATGGTTGTGGCTATCCTATCCTAGTGCGAATAATATATCTATGTCTGATCAAATCGTACATCGAAGTTCAGAATTAATTAACTAGCTACGCCAACTCTGGCCAGTCTGGCAGTCGGGCACAATGACTAAGTCAAAATTGGCACGTCTTATCTGGCATCTAGCAACCAATATATGACATGGGTAGTAACAATCTGAACTAAGTTTGTAGTTTATGTTAAATCGATTAATCGATTAAAGCAACATGTTTTAATCTATTCATATATCGACTAATTTAATTGAACATTTTAGAAGAAAGTATCATTATCTTAAAGATGATTACAGAGATACCTAAACTCGTAAGAGACAGATAGTAGTACCTAGTCGACGAACTTAGTTTAGTCCCTTAATAAAAACTTTAATTATCTAAATGTAGCTTGCCTTTATACGCCTTAAAAAAAAAGTGAGTTACCAAATTTTTTTTAGACTCTAGTTAGTTGTACTTTGAGGTGTCGTGTAATAATAAGTATGTGGCTTTATCAAAATTTATTATAGAAACATTAAATTAACTGATACATGAAACGTGCAACCATTTAATGAAATGTTCATTCATTAAAGCAGGTAGAGTAGGTACAACAGAATTTTTACTCAAATCCGACCTCAGACCAGTGACTAGATAAGCACCTCTGAATATAGAAAACTTTGAACATTTAAGTTAGGCAAACGTAAGTAGATTTAAGGGACTTTCCAGCTTCCAGTACTAGGACTTTTTTTTTTTTTTTTTTTTTTTAAAGACAACGCCCGCATTAGGAATAAATCCTGTGTCGCGGGGACTTTACAAACATACATGAAACGGACACAAAGGACACCCAGACTCAGAACAACAATTTGTGGATCACACAAAGTGTCGTCCCATGTGGGGTTTGAACCCACAACACTCGGCGCAGTAGGAAGCGGCGTGGCGACCGCTTAAACCACTACGCCATCCGTGCAGTCGGAGACTTTAACAAACATATATGAATTCCTCCCCAAAAACGTAAAGGACTAGAATGATTGACAACGCGTTGTAACATACCTACATACCATGTAGGTATGCAAGGTTTTTTAGACGTCGGTTAGCTAGATACTGGTTTGTAGTTACAGAACATCGCTCTGCTAACTCCTATCTCCTCAAAGGACTCGATATCTACGAATAATAGCTGATAACATGACTTTCTTAAGCCTGTACCACGCAGTTGGGTATCCTACCACACCATGCTTTAGAGTCGTGATCTAAATTATTTTATTACGGGATATTTACAAACTAAAATTATTTTTAATCAACTTAGAAAGTTTGATTACTATATCCCGACGTAATTAGTTTTTTAGTCAAGTAGGTTACATTTTTGAGTTATAATATAAGATAGTTTACACAGGCAAAATGCTTAAGTAAAATATAGAAATGTGTTAGTGCACGCAAGCGTATGTGCGTGTTTACTTTCGTGTATATGTAAATATATATATATATATATATATAGTGCTATTATTAATTATGTGTATCTATTGCATGTTTGTTGAGGCATCGTTGTAAATATTTTTTACAAGAAAGTCCAATTTTGGTAACGTGTAAATTAATAAAAAAACAAAGATTATAAAGAGAAGCAAACCCACCTGCAGCTACTGACCGCTATAAATATACGTAATACACTACACGTCGCCATTATTTTCGAAAATTAAACAAGTTAAAACTTGCCCGCATAATTAAAACTATTGCGGCGCGGACACCGACCGCACTATTCCGCGCAACTCCGAGACAAAACTAACACAAAACTCTTACTAGCATCTCTATTTGCAAATTAAATCGCCAATTACAATAGAAGCCCTAAATCATGCAACTCTACCATAAATTAGACCTCAGACAAATTCAAAAACAGTAGGAGACGGTAGCACAACTTGAGCGTGCTTTGTTCCCCATCGGCGTCAGCTAAACAGAAGGTGAGCGCTTTTGTGTCGGCAGTTGTAAATTTTATGAAAAGTGAAATTCCTTTTGAATGCTTCTTCGACCCATAAATAATCCCCGAACAGTAGGCACGGTATTGTTTCTGGCACTTATTGTTTCTCATCAATGCGCACGTGGAGCGAAAGTGTTTTTGCAAAATTGTCAAATATATTTTCGCTACCTGTGCTCACGATCCATACATTGTGCAAATTCTACTATGACACAGGAATTCCGCTCTCGTTTTCAACGCCACAATATCACATACATCAATGCACAATACGGACTAGAGAATCTATTTTGAATACCTATTATTTCTAAGAAATTTTAATGATTCTTCAACACTTACCAAATTGACTTCGCATCCAGGGGTAAAGTGGACTGGGCAGCGACGCATTAGTATTAGGCGGAGGCTGCTGCGGGGGTGGTTGCTGTGCGTGCATCGACTGCTGGTGCATAGGAGGCATTTGCGTCTGATGCTGCATGTCGTCCACCGGGTACATAAGATGCTGCTGGTGGGGAGGCACGCCGTGCTGCACCATGTGCTGCTGGGGATGCATATGATGCGTCATTTGCTGCGCCTGCTCTAGTGGAGGACTACCCGGCACTCCTCCTGCCGTCGCCGCCGCAGCCTGAAGCTTACACGACGTGTAGACCGCTGGCGCTGGGGGCTGGTGACCATTCGGGCCATAACCGTCCGTTTTAGGACCCATATGACCCATTTGAGATGGACTGTCGGGCCGGTAGCCATTTTGTTCCATCTGCTGGTAATAACCCAATCTATCGTAGGGCGGAAACCGGGGGTAGGGCAAGCCAGGCGCTGGTTGCGCGGGGTAGTGGTGTTGCGCCGGCCTTAACTGCTGGTCACAGCCCTCCATCTCGTGACCTTGTTGTGGCACAGCGCCATAGTGCGCATGCGCCTGCTGGTGGTCGTGACCTCCGCCGTTTCTCATATCAGGCATATAGGCGTTTGAGAAATATGTCATGCTGTCGCAATTGTTAGCGCTCATCGCGGGCCCGCAGCCCGCGCGGCTCGCGTCCGTATCTTCCGTCGCAGATTTTCGGCCCTTTGGGCCGACACTACCTATCACAGTTCAGTCACTACACAAACACTTCGGATTCCATTCACTACACGACAACAATCGACCTCACTGACGGGTTGCTCGGTGCTGACGGACGGTGTCTTCTCATCTGATTCTTCCACAAATCTGAAAAGGAAAGGTTGATGCACTTAGTCAAGCTATTATTAAACATTTCAGATGGTCAGGTGTAAGATGGCGGCTGTCGATCGATCGAGTGTTTATGTTGGCGGGTTCGCAAAATAGTTGCGCCAGAGACATGGCGCATGCCACCGACCTGACGGTCGACAAAGACTGACACGTGTCCTAAAGTAGGGACACACACGAAGTCATAAACCTCATGTTCCGAGTAAAACGCCTATTAGCGACAACCTGTCTGTGATACGAGCTCCCGTTCGTCAGAGATAACTAAGCGGCGCATTCTTAAACGCGGTTTATGTTTGAAATCTGTCTTTGTCTGACTGAAGAATGCCTATCTTGAGAAGTGAGACAGCATATGGAATAGTGTCACGTCTCGAGATCGACATGTGGTTGACCCGACGTCATACCCTCGGCATTTCCCAGCAGTTGATGGAGCATGAGTGACAACCGCGCCGTCGTCCGACGACATAACTTTACACAGACGTTAATTTGTGTGCTGAGGGACAAGCGTCACAGAAACCAAGGCGTTATCGTCCAATCTCATACTACTTGTTTAATGTTGAGAATTTATTGCGTACTTAATACGACAGCTACTGGAATTCACCAAGTAGCAAGCATAGCGGAAACAAAAAAAATCAATTAAGCAAATAAAAACGAGGATATTTTTAAAGTTTAATCTACTTCAAACGAGCTCTTGCGTCATATTTTGTACAATTTACATAATAGTTTCTGCTATTGTGAGATATACTTACCTACTTCCGAAATATAAAATTCGCTACAACAGTTAACATCGTTACAAAGTCACGTCGAAATATTTTGGATATGCTTTGTTAATTTCATATACTGAGTAAAAAATCTTCATACAGTATTGGTGCCGCCCCTGAGGGCTGGCTCAAGTTATTTAAAACCAAAAGCTCAAGCCTCATTAGCGACAGTTAATGATGGCGGCGGCTCCCGGCACAATACTAGCAGATGCTAATGTTCTGTTGTGTAACTTTAGCATGGGAACATACAATATTGTTACCATGTACTAGATTGTCATGAAACAGTTGTGTACATCATTATTCAAAATGTTAACTAGAATCATCATATCAAAACATTCTGAAATTTGCAGAATTCCCAATGAGAACGGAATTTTGAATTCATGAGAATTCTAAAAACATACCCAATAGATTTAGTAAATGTTAGAACGAGCACGCGTTCTGGATAGGTACAACAATTGAATAGCATGCCTACTCAAAAAATTAGCATGCGTAGGGCTGGACAATTTAAATTTACGATTCCGCCGCCCCCTGCGACACGACCCTCGCTTTTTTTAATTTTCAATTTCCATTCGCATTCCACCAACTAATTCTCATCCTATAAAAGTAAGTACATGAAGAATAAAAGTGATTTATGAGAATTTATTTGTTAATTCCGTTCAATGTAGCGTTTTGAGTTACTCTATTATTAAATTACTTGTTGTGAAAAGCCAGTAATTATGTTAGTTCACTATCAATTATTTACGACTGCATAAATACAGGTTAGGCCCTCTTACATTCTAAATCGAAACGTCAACTCTAATGAGAAGCAAAACTACGACTCAAATTAAAAACAACTTCAAGTGTACCCATTACAAACATGACTTCAAAACAACTTAAAAAGGTTTCGGCGAAAAAACTTTAAGGTTTAAACGTGTAATAATTATAACAGTATCTATTAGTGAGTCGCTCGATCTTAGAGCACGTACGGCTTATATTCTAGCCGACAATTATGAGAGATAAGGATCTCTTCAACCCCGTGGATTCATGGAACTTCCTACTGACCGCCGCGCGCCGTCGTCGAAATTAAGTCTCACGTGCGTTTGATAATTTGATAACAGGCATCTACATTTTGATTTATTTTTTCATATAACTGGTTTGTGAGTCAGTCCGGTTCGTTCTCATGCCCTCGACTTCTAAGTAAAACTGTGCTATGTAATTAACCGTGTGTCAAAATGTTTATTCGTCGTATTCTAGGTACTGGTTGTTATCCGAGGCTGAAGCCTGAGTTTATGTTTATGATATTAAAGAATTACACAGAAAATCACAATTAAATGTCAATTACGGCAAACCGCCTCTCGCGCTCTTATTCTAAGAGATTCATATTATAAGAGTTCTCACAGCGTGTAAACTAAATGACGTGCCCTGTTACATTGATGAATTATGTTAATAAGATACAATAAAAAAATGATTGAACGACCTTACAAGTAATAAAAACGTCGAAATTTTTCAGCTATAACTATTGTTTTAAAATAGTATCGGACACGTGCAAACGCTTATATTTTGAAACAATTTCATTGAAGAACGGAATCGTAAATCACTTGGCAATGTTTTAATCAGACTTAAAAATTACAAAATATTTGATGGGCCATCTCGTATCTTGTTTTATAACAGCCATTCGATAAATCATACAAAAATACACTGTCTAATAGACCAGTGACCAAATTAAAAAGAAAATTAATAACATTTCGCGACCAACAGTCGGCAGTTGTTAATCAAACGACGATCAAAGGAAGTATATTTTGGGAAAATTCCCAACGCGTGTATTTATCATTTCCACTATTTGTCAATTAGAGAGCTATTGTGGGAACAACACTCTTTGATTTATACACCCTGTATCGGTTTAGTGCGACAGTACACAAGAAAAGTTGCTCCACCTTGTTATTTTAAGTTCCGGGAGAACACTGCCATCTGTCACAATAAAATCTTATTACTGATGTAGATTTACATAAAATCTTCCTGCATTTTTTTTATAAAATATATCACATCGTACTTTTTATTTAAATATAATAGTACTTGACGACAGAGTCGATGACATTAATTGACGTTTGTCAAGTAATTAAAATGATTTAAACAAAGTGTGTGTCACCTTGTAAAGCAATATTCACAAATAGTGTAAAAAAATAGAAAGGAGTTACTGGAATTTAAAATATATATTATGTTATTGCTGTAGTATTGATACTGTTTTCTACGAGATATACTATTATATAGTATCTTGACAATCTTTATAAGGACAAAAGATTTTTTCTTCAGACTTCTTACAATACACCAAATTTTACGAAATATATATGAGTATATAGTAGTATATACTCATATATATTTGATTTGATCATATATATCACAAGGTGTATTTTTTTTATTTACGTCTTCTACTGCTTCTGTTATGAGAATGTTATTATTAAGATAATAAAAACGTCCAATTTGACTACAATTTTTTCTATAGTCTAAAGATTTGCAACCCCTATGGATATTCGTTTCCAATAAACTATCTAAACAAAAAAAATGAGGTCTACAATGTCATCGTTATTTAACGTTATTTGATTTTATTGAAAAATATGTATAAACACTGTAGTATTGTTCAAAATTATATATACGTAAATAAGATAAGACATATTAACTTAATTTTCAATTTATTTGAGGAAATCCAATGAGGCAGAGCACGTTTCGCTGTCATTGCACTATGGGTCACGTTTGAACTCACTCATGTGTAGAGAATTTTTCATAACCTGTTGGTATGGGTCCTTTAGCCGTCAGTTAATTTTTGCTTCAGGAACTTCTCCTTTTATCCAAGGCAGAACCTTTTGAAGATATTTTCGTGTAACCTCATGTTGTGCGAACATTTTTCAATTATGAAACGCTTTAATTAGTTAGATTTGTGATGTGGTATTAGTGTGACTTGAAACTTATTCACTGTCTTTATCATCCAACATTAAGTACTCTTGTTAATATTCTGATATATATGTATTTATTGTGTGAAGCTTTCTATATATGCACAATAAATATAATAACATACAAAGCATTGATATAATTCTGTAGTACGATACGCATTTTCATGGAGGTGTAATAGAGAGAACGTTACGGTGAACTTTTTAATTTTTACGATAACACACAGATGTACGAGTCCATACAAGTCTAACCTAAAAGCTGAGCTAGCAGGCCTAACTGTGAGCTAAAGCTATATTTATTTAAATCAGTTAATTGCTTAATAGATATAGAAGTATCCAGTTACTTAAAGTATCAAGTAATACTAAAGTATGTGACTAGCGAATATTGGCCAACTACTCTTTCCCCGGACAAGGTTTTCAAGAAAGGTCTGTAATAGGTCTGCAATAAAGCCTATTATTGATTGTACCAATATTATATGTATATATTGTTGGTACAGTCAATAAGACACGTATCTCGTAATTTGTTCTATGTTTCCTACATTAAAATAAAGCATATAGTGTTAGCTTTTCTTTTGTCAGATCGGACATTCAGTTTTCTTAGAACACAGTCACTACGTCTACTAAACATGGCCGCCGATTAATCTACCACTTGAGTTCCTCTGATGTTCGTAACATTTGGTCTTGTAATGAATTAATACCCTTCAATTACTTATATGTTTTATTTGTCTATTAAATACTGAACAAGTATTTTGAGTAATCGTCAAAGTCAGTCTAATTAGTTGATTACTCTATTGGTTTAATTGTGTGATATTTAAGTGATATTTTAAGTACTTAGAACGTTATTATTTTTAAATAATAAAGATTGACGTCGATTTCAAAGGGATTAACAATGTAACTATGAAAATTATATAAAGAAACCTGCATACTAATTGTTGTTTTATTGTAGTAATTAATACCTATATATTTTGATAAAACCTCTTCTTATAACAATTCTTACTAAAATTGTAATCATAAAATAAATATGGTGTACATAAAACATGGCTTCATGGCTTACGTAAAACATACCTATTGACTTTAATTTCAAATGGTTTCAATCTTTTCAAATTAAGGGGAAAAATATTCTATTCTATTCTAATAACCAATGTAATGTACCGAGTTATCTACTAATAGTACCTATAGTAGTTAAACTCTGCATAGTTTGTGTGGTATGATTTGTATTAATTGGTTGTTTTTCTTTATATGATAATTAAATTAAAAGTTGTTTCCACTGTAAAGTACATCATAGTTGTTCTGTTCAGGAGCTTCATCTTCATGTGTTAATGATACGGGCAAAAATATTTTCTTCTAAATACTCAAGCATCACACTAGCTTATAGGTCCCCAATACCCCAGTAACGCATTACAAATCTAAGCAATATTACAAAAATGGCATATGCAGAAAAAAGGACATCCTCGTAGTTATAAAAAGATACACTTACTTAACATTACAATAATTAATTCACATTACACACCTCATACTCCCAAAGGCATCATTACATCTGTTCTATTGAAAAACAGACACATTTTTGCGCGAAAACTCCGTACACCCCTTTTTACCCTCGCCGGGTAAATCCGGCCGCTAGGCGGGCCCTGAGTGAATAGCTATGTTCCTGCTAATTACCCCGGCCAACTTCTAAATTTAATCAGACAAGTTATATAATTTTCGCGGTGGGTAAATAATTTTTCATGACGGGAGAGGTGCGCGGTGTTGTACTCTAATTACTCTGTTTCAATGTTTACTGTGAC